CACCTGCCCAAGTTCCAGATGCCCAGTGTCACAGTGCCCAAAGTGGACTTCAAAGCCCCTCAGGTGGACATCAAGGGACCCAAAGTGGACCTGAAAGGCCCCAAAGAAGACTTGAAAGCCCTTAAGGGGGAGGTGGCCACCACTGATGTGGACGTGTCCTTGCCTAGCGTGGAGGTGAACATCCAGGCACCAAGCACGAAGGTGGAGGGTGACGTGTCCCTGGGACACAAAGACTTAGTTATCAAAGACAGCAAGTTCAAGATGCCCAAGTTCAAGATGCCATCCTTTGGTGTGTCTGCGCCAAGCAAGTCAATAGAGGCATCAGTGGACGGATCTCTGCAGGAAGCACAGGTGGATGTGGCCCTCCCCTCCCCCAAGGGAGAAGTCAAGACTGGCGACCTCAGCCTTCAACTCCCCTCCGCTGACGTGGAAGTGAAGGGTGGTGAAGTGGGCATAAAGCTCCCTGAAGGACAGTTTCCTGAGAGCCAGCTGCCACAGGGAGAGCTCACAGGACAGGCCATAGGAGACGAACTCAAAGGGCACCTGCCCAAGTTCCAGGAACCCAGCATCAAGATGCCCAAAGTGGACTTCAAGGCCCCTCAGGTGGACATCAAGGGCCCCAAAATGGACTTGAAGGGGCCCAAATTGGACATGAAAGGTTTCAAGGGGGAGGGGGACAACACAGATGTGGAGGTGGCTCTGCCAAGTGTGGAGGTGGACATCCAGGCACCAGGTGCCAAGGTGGAAGGTGACGCGTCCCTGGGAGACAAAGATTTGGCCACAAAAGATAGCAAGTTCAAGATGCCGAAGTTCAAGATGCCATCCTTCGGGGTATCAGCTCCAAGAAAGGACTTGGGAACCTCTGTTGACTTGTCAGGGCCCAAAGTGAGTGCAGAGTCTTCTCTGCCCTCGCTGGGAGTAGCGATTGCGCCTGCTGAGGGGAGCATCCCAGTGCCATGTGCTGACATCACCCTACCAGGAGCCAAGCTGGACTTGCCCCTCCCAGAGGTGGAGGTGGCTACTGGAGAGCTGAAGGGCAAAACTGAAGGGGCCAGGATCAAAGGGCACCTGCCCAAGGTCCAGGTGCCTGACATCAAGTTGCCCAAAGTGGACCTTAAGGGCCCCAAGGTGGATGTTAGCCTCTGCGAAGTGGACGTGTCCCTGCCCAGTGTTGAGGTGGGTGCCCCAGCTCCCGGAATCTCCATGGAGGGCGTGAAGGTGGAAGGAGATGTCAAGATGGAAGACAAGGACGTCAAGACCAAGGACGGCAAATTCAAAATGCCCTCTTTCAAGATGCCATCCTTTGGTGTGTCTACACCAAGCAAGTCCCTTCAGGCCTCTGTGGATATGTCTCTTCCAGAGGCACAGGTGGACGCGTCTCTCCCCTTCACTGAGGGAGAAGTCAAGACCAGTGACCTCAGCATTCAACTCCCATCTGCCGACGTGGAAGTGAAGGGTGGCAAGGTGGGCATTAAGGTCCCTGAGAGCCAGCTGTCCAAAGAAGAGCCCACGGGACAGGCCGTTGGAAGTGGTCTCAAAGGTCACCTGCCCAAGTTCCAGATGCCCAGTGTCACGGTGCCCAAAGTAGACTTCAAAGCCCCTCAGGTGGACATCAAGGGACCCAAAGTGGATCTGAAAGGCCCCCAAGTAGACTTGAAAGCCCTTAAGGGGGAAGTGGCCATCCCTGATATGGACTCGTCCCTGCCCAGTGTGGAGAAGGACATCCAGGTGGTGGGCATCGAGGTGGAGGATGACGTGTCCCTGAGAGACAAAGTTGTCAAAGACAGCAAGTTCAAGTTGCCCAAGTTCAAGATGCCGTCCTTTGGGGTGTCAGCTCGGAGCAAGGACTTGGGAACCTCTGTGGACTTGCCAGCGCCCAAAGTGGATGCAAACATGTCCCTGCCCTCCCTGGAAGTAGAGAGCTCTCCTGCCAAGGGGAGCATCCCAGTGCCATCTGCTGACATCACCCTATCAGCAGCTGAGCTGGACATGTCCCTCCCGGAGGTGGAGGTAGCCGCTGGGGAGCTGAAGGGCAAATCCAAAGGGGCTACAATCAAAGGGCACCTGCCCGAGGTCCAGATACCCGATATAAAGATGCCTGAGGTTGACCTGAAGGGCACCAAGGTGGATATCAGCCTCTCCGATGTGGAAGTCCCTCTGCCCAAGGTCCTGCTGGATGCCCCAGCACCCAAGCTCTCCCTGGAAGGCACGAAGGTGGAGGGAGATGTAAAGCTGGGAGACAAGGACGTCAAGACCAAGGACAGCAAATTCAAAATGCCCTCCTTCAAGATGCCATCCTTTGGTGCGTCTGTACCAAGCAAGTCCATCAAAGCACCAGGGGACGTGTCTCTGCCAGAGGCACAGGTGGACGTGTCCCTCCCCTCCTCTGAGGGAGAAGTCAAGACCAGCGACCTCAGGATCCAACTCCCATCTGCCGACATGGAAGTGAAGGGAGGCGAGGTGGGTGTGAAGCTCCCCGAGGGCCAGCTGCCCGAGAGAGAGCTCAAGGTACAGGCCTTGGGAGACGAATTCAAAGGGCACCTGCCCAAGTTCCAGATGCCCAAAGTGGACTTCAAGGCCCCCCAGGAGGTCCTGAAGGACCCCAAAGTGGACTTGAAAGTCCTCAAGGGGGATAAGGCCACCGAAGACACAGAGGTGTCTCTGCCCAGCGTCGAGTTGGACATCCAGGCGCAGGGCACCAAGGTGGAGGGTGATGCGTCCCTGGGAGACAAGGACGTGGTGGTCAAGGACAGTAGATTCCGAATGCCCCGACGCCTGAGCATGCCTTCATTTGGCAAGTCGTCCAGCAGGGTCGCCACGGGCTCGTCTCAGGTTGCAGGAAGTGTCAAATGTCCCGAGTTGACAGTGTCCACAGCCACCACGGAGCCGGGTCTCAGTGCCTCTGGTCCTGACGTTCCTGATTCCAGTGTGGGTGTCACCACGGCATTGCCAGTTGGGAACGACGGAGAGAAAAGCAAAGCGAAGAAACCTCACTTCAAAATGCCCAAAGGCTTCTTTCCACCTTTAAAGTCCTCTAAAGACCAGGTCACCCCCCACCAGGATTCTGGGGTGCCTCCTCCCCAACATGTCTCTGCCGCTCTCCCTGACATCCCGGCTGGTCTGTCCCAGGAGGAGGTTTCGGCCAGTGGCACACAGTCCCCGCCGGTCCCCAAGGTGGGATTGGCTGGTCTTCCGTCAGCCAAGCTCGATCTCCGTGTTCCGCGTGAGGAATCCGTCCTCCCTTCCAGCCATGGCGTCACCCTAACAAAGTATCAGGTGATGCTCGCCATGGCCACCGTGCACGCTGAGCTTCCTCCAGATACAATTCCTGTGCCGAATACCGACGCACCCCTCCCCAGCCATGAAGGCTCAGCTGAGCTGCAGCCCCACGACAAAGCCCCAGCCTCGACAGAAACTCTCCCCAGTCCTGGGGGGCCCCTGGCTCCTGCCACTTACGGAGGGGTGACTTTTCCTAAGTTCCATAAACCGAAGTTTGGATTTTCAGTCCTGACGGCAGCTGATGCTGAGGGCGGGGGCTCTGCAGCTGAGAAAATCGAGGCTTCCCCACCGCCCTGCACTGCTCTTCCGTCAGCTGATGCCCCCGTCTGCACGGGGCTGGAGGGTCACTCTGGCCCTGACATCACAGCAGCTGTGGCACTGGGAGAAGCCCCCTCTCACGACACTGAGTGTGAAGCGAAGGGGAGTCCCTTCAAAAGGCCCAGGCTCAAGCTTCCGTCACTGAGCTGGTCTCCCAAGGAGGCAGGGCCACAAAGAGATCCCGAGGGCAGCTCTGCAGACACGGAGCTCAGCCTGGGTTTAGACCCTGATCAGCCTGGCGCCCAGACTGGGATCCACGCGTCACAGGTGGAAGCGGATGCAGATCTGCCCCCCGAGAAAGATGGCTCGAAGGGGAGGATGAGAAAGTCGGGCTTCACCATGCCAAAGCTTCCATTTTCCAAGGTAAAGGGAGGACCTGGCCTGCCCCCGGGGGAGGTCCAGCCTTGTCTTTCTGGCCCCAAAGCAGCTGCAGAAAGGACCAGCAGCGACAAGGATGTGGCTGGCGGGGCGCCCGACGGAGAGGACCAGGACCCCACTCTGGGCCTCACCAAACCCGTGCACAGACCCTCTGAGGCCGAGGTGGAGGTGAGCTGGCCGGAGGCCACCACTCGTCTTCCCGAGCATGACCCGTCTCTCCAGGAGAGCAGTGTGGGGCTTGGGCTCAAGGACAGCCCAGCACACCCACCCCACAGGGAAGGCACAGCCCCTCCAATGGAACAGGCGCTCCAGCCAGCCAGTGCTCTGCTGGGCGCCGACACCCACACGGTGGAGAGTCTTGACGGGGATGCTCAGGCGACCGGGGCACCAGCGGGCTCGAAGGAGGGCTGGTTCAGAGTGCCCAAGTTCCACCTGCCCGGCTTCTGGCGCGCGTCCACCAAGGAGAAGAGCAAGGCGGCAGTAGCTGAGGCTCAGGGCCCCGGACCTGGAGGCGGGGACGCAGCAGCTGGAGTGCAGACTCAGGGGGCCAATGTCCAGGGGTCGACAGAGGAGACAGCTGTGTCGCTGCAGCCCACAGATGCCAAGGCAGACGGGACGGCCTCCGAGACCGACTCGTACGCAGATGTCCTGAAACGTGATGTCCATGGCACCGGCTTGAATATGTCCCTCGCCACTGCCCGTGCGGCCGCGGCTGATCTCTCTGCTCCTGAGGCCGGGGTCGGTCCTGGTGAAGGCTCCCTCCCCCTCTGGATGCCCCTCGGGAGGCTGTCAGAGGGTCAGTTTCCCCCAGGGCAGACGGACGAGACTGCTCCTCCAGGACCCGAAGGTGGCCCTACCAGTGTGGAGGAAGGAGCGGAAAGACAGCTCGCCCCCACCGAAGGGCCTCTGAAACTGAAGACTTCACAGACTGAGATGCCAGCCCAGGTTTCCGTCATCCAGGTGGACCGGCTCTGGGAGGATTCCGTGGTCACAGTCACATTCCCCAAGTTGAAGTCACCGAGGTTTGCTTTCCATGCCTCCAGCACAGATGCTGACGTCTTCGTCCCCTCCGTGAGGGAAGTGCCGTGCCTGGGGACAGGCACCGAGGGGGACTTGCAAGGGGAAAGCCCTGGTGTGTGGGGCGCCACCATCCTGAAGGCTGGCTCCGGGGTCCCTGCGGAGCAGCCGGGGGATGCGGCTGACTCCTCGGAAGCATCCCCCCGCTCCAGGGTTAGAGTGCACATTCAGGGTGCCCGGGTGGAAAGCCAAGCGGTTACTGCGGGCAGTGGGGTCACGCCAGTGTCCACCGAGTCATCAGGACCTGAGGCCTTTCCCACTCAGATTGTGCGAGAATCGGAGGTCCCCGCATCTGAGATCCAAATGCCTTCTTATGGATTTTCCTTGCTAAAGGTGAAAATCCCAGAGCCCCCCCAACAGGCTAGAGTGCACGTGGCCATTCACGGCTCCCAAGCGGGAGAGGCCTCAGAAGAGGCCCCCCAGAAAGCCGCCCCAGAAGTGGACCCCATTTCTGCAGACCTGCAGCCCGACACTGGAGAACCATTTGAGATCATCTCTGCCAGCGTCAGCGTGCCGAGACTGCACGCCTGCCCATCCGAAGTTCCCGCTGGCCGTCAGGGTGCCGACAGCTGTTCCGATGAGGAGCCAGCGGAAATTCTTGAGTTCCCCTCTGAGGACAGCCGAGAGGTGGCCACCCTGCCGGCAGATGAAGACGTGGGCCAAAAGGAGAAGTTGGCAAGTAAAAAGCCTTCTGGTCTGTTCCGGTTTTGGCTTCCGAACATTGGGTTTTCTTCTTCCGTCGATGAGACATGTTCAGATCCCAGAGATGATGTCCAAATATCTGCTCCCATTGAAACGCAGCCCGAGGCGGGACCAGAGACAGAGCTGCCTAAAAAGCAGGAGAAGGCGGGCTGGTTTCGATTTCCCAGATTAGGCTTCTCCTCTTCTCCTACCAGGAAGAGTAAAAGCACCAAAGACGAAGCCAAGCTTGCAGAGCAAACTGTCCAAGAAGAGGGAGTCACCTTTTTTGATACACATGAAAGTTTCTCCCCTGAAGACAAGGAAGAAGGTGAGCTGGCAGAGGCTGGGCCTGCCTGCGGGATGGAGACGTCCACTGCAAGAACCGAGCAGAGCCTGCTGGAGCAGGAGGAACACGCCAGCGGTGAGTCTGCTCCCAGGCCCACCACCAAATGAGGGCCGGGAGGTGGGATCCTCAGCTGAAGGCAGACATACGCGAAGCCCGAAAACAGAGTTTGTGCACGTGTATGGCACACCCCACCCTGACAATGCTTTACTGAGAACGAAGCAGAAACGAGAAGGTCCTTGCAACCATCACGTCCTAAAATGTCCTCCTAAAATGCGACCTGAAAAGTGCCTAGCTCCCCCAAATTCTTGCAAGCAAGGGAGGCACTCTGACTCCCCACCAGACTCAGAGTTCACAATATAATGTTGCTTCTGGAAGCGTGGCTGGAGAAGAGTTCTTGCTAAATAAAGTCCAAGAGACACGCCCGTACTCCCGTGAGCATTTGACGTCCGTTTCTTTGTGGGAAGATTTGTAATGGCATGGGTGTAGGCGTAGGTGGGCGTACTCTGTCCTGCTGCTTCCTGGTGAACAGAGTTTCCTTACTTCAGGCTGGGTCGAATGTGTTCCAGGAGACCCGGTTGCCCGCTCACTCACATGAATTCATTCCTTTGTTGAACGTCCTTGCTGAGACAGGCTTAGCCCTGCTCTGTGGGGGTGCACACAGGCGGGGCACAGGGTGACCACGAATGGGCTGACCTGGTGACACTGGACTGTGACGAGGTGCCGCGAGGACCTGGCAGTGCCTCTCCTCTCCGGGGGCACAGCCCACCCTGCAGCCCCGACCCCTGATGGACAGGATGAGCCAGCCAGCAGAACATGCTTGGCCAGTTGCTCCTCAGGGAGGGGATAAAGGCAGCCGTGTGCCCCACGAGTGGCCGCCGCGTCCTCTGTGCCCTGTGTTCCCACCACGCACCCCCCCATCCAGAACCTCTACAAAGCCGCTCTAGAAAACGGTCTAGACTGGACCTTAGGGTGGTCATTCCACAGCCGTTGTTTATCTCCAAGACGTTCGTCATGCACCAGGGCCTCCTATCAGCAGGTGCTGAGGGGTCAGAGGACAATAGCCCCGTCCTGGCCTCAGAGCTGCCTGTCTGGCAGGAGACACACACACAGACACACACAGGCGCACCCACAGAAACACAGAGACACAGAGACACGCGCACAC